CGGCTCTTCGCACGACTCCAGTCCTAGCACTGTACGATCCCAATCGGGAAACGCGCATTGAGGTCGACGCCTCAGGATATGCCACTGGCGGCGTGTTGATGCAGAAGCAGGACGATGGCAAATGGCATCCTATTGCCTTCAGATCCCATGCGATGGACCCGGCACAGCGGAACTACGAGATCTACGATAAGGAGATGCTCGCGATCATCGAAGCACTGGACGACTGGCGCCACTATCTCGAGGGCCTACCCAATCAGTTCGAGATCGTAACCGATCATAAGAATCTCGAGTACTGGCGCACGTCACAGCACCTCACGCGTCGTCAAGCGCGATGGTCACTGTTCCTGGCTCGCTTCGACTTCCGCATCACGCACAAAGCCGGGACGTCGAATGGAAAGGCTGATGCCCTGTCGCGACGATCAGATCACCAGATCGGCGATGAGGACGATAACACCGATCAGGTAGTTCTCAAGCCGGAGCGCTTCCGCATCGCCTCCGCCAGGCGCGGTCATGCCTCGGTGACGGCCGATCAGTCGCTTCTGAAGCGCATCAGGGAGTGTTCGGAGAAGGATCGGGAGGTGGCCGAGGCACTGGAAAAGGTGCAGGACCTCGGGCCGCCCCGGCTGCAAAGGGGTTTTGAGGAGTGGAATGCCGAACAAGGGCTTCTGCTGTTCCGCGGGTGCGTGTACGTCCCAAAGAACGCGGAGCTCCGGCGGGATATAGTCAAAATCCACCACGACTCGCCGATCGCCGGTCATGGCGGCCGTGCCAAAACCCTGGAGCTCGTGTCACGGAACTACTGGTGGCCTGGGATGTCCAAATTTGTCAATGAGTACGTAAGCACCTGCGACGTGTGCAACCGTACCAAGACATTCCCAGCCAAGCCCCAGGGTCCGTTGAAACCGAACGAGATCCCCGAGCGCCCGTGGCAGATCATCACGACCGATATGATCGTTGGCTTGCCGAAGTCTGATGGATTCGACTCAATCCTGGTTACCGCCGACCGCTTTACCAAGCAGGTCCACTTCTCGGCCTGTCATGAGACCCTGACGGCAGAAGGTGCGGCAGACCTATACATCCGCGACGTGTTCAAGCATCATGGGGCCCCGGCCAAGGTCATATCAGACCGAGGTCCCCAGTTCGCTTCGAAATATCTCCATGCGGTGTACAAGGGACTGGGAATCGAGCCGGCGCTGTCTACAGCATTTCATCCTCAGACAGACGGCCAGACTGAGCGCTGGAATCAGGAGATCGAGCAGTACCTGCGTGCTTTCACAAGCCACAGGCAGGATGATTGGGCGAAGCAGTTGCCGCTCGCGGAATTCGCACTAAATAACCGAGTTCACTCCGCGACCGGGCACTCCCCTTTCTTCCTGCATCAGGGGTACAATCCTGAGATCCAAGTGCGGATCAATCCGATGTCTGCGATGCCCGCAGCCGCTGATCGGCTCAAAATCCTGAAGGAGATTCGCGACGATACGCGCTCTGCGCTCGAGCTGTCAGCCGAGCGTATGAAGGTGTACTACGATAAGCACGTGCAGGAGGCACCGGTCTTCGCGCCGGGGGACAAGGTCTGGCTTGACGCTCGGAACCTTAAGCTGAAACAGCCGAGCAAGAAGCTCAGTCCCAAGCGCCTCGGACCATATGCCGTGCGGCGAAAGCTCGGAGACCTGGATTACGAATTAATCCTGCCGAAGTCGGTGCCGGTACACCCGGTGTTCCATGTCTCCTTGCTCAGCAAGTACACACGTAGCGATATCCCGGGCCGGGAGCCAGAGGAGCCGCCTGCGATCGAGGTTGAGGGCGATGAGGAGTACGAGGTTGAGCGGATCAAGGATTCGAGGATCTTCCGGCGTCAGCTGCAGTACCTCGTCAAGTGGAAGGGTTATGACGACTCGCATACGTCATGGGAACCGGCGCGCAACGTTTCCAATGCACCGGCCCTCATAGCCGACTTCCACCGGAAGAATCCAAACGCCCCTCGTCGACTCAGTGCTGCTACCTTTGGTGGTCTCAACTTTCAGCCAATGCCTTCGCCGCTGACTGAAGCACGTTGCCGCTCCGGATGGGAGATGGGCAAGGGCGCCTCGCATGAGGTCATGCGCCGTTGAGGGGGGGGTAATGTCACGAGTTGGTACGGTGTCTAGCCGTTTTTTTAATTTTTTCCTTTTCGCGGGCTCGAACCCGCGACCTCTGTACTACCTGCCTGATACGGACACGTCGTTATCTACTGTACGATAAGATTAGATGGGGCGGCAACGCACGGCACAGCTCGGGCTCCGCTGACACAGCCGCTCTGACTCACCGGCCCCCGGGGCCGCGTCGGCATGCTGTGCACGGACCAGCTGCGCACGGACCAATGCGCACAGCCTGCCCTAATCTCCCCATGTATATAAGCCGGCCTCTGCTGCCCTAGGGACCTCAGTTTCGACCTCTTGTCCCTAGGTCAGTAAGCCCATCCTGTATTCTTTTTCTTACTTAACTAACTAATACATTTCTTGTCCCTAGCCTTAGGTTTGAGCCTCGCTCACCATCGCTTCGGTGAGAATCAGTCGGACGCCCCCAGCCTTCAGGTATTCCCCAGTCGCTTGACCTCAAGTCGCGACAACATCAGCCGGGCCCATCGGCCCGAGCTAAACAACTTCTTTTCGGCACGAGGTCGAGGACGCGGAGGGGCACGTGGTGGTGCACCCCCGTCACACGCAGCTTCGGCCAGCATCAATGCGGCCGTCGGAAAAGGAAACTTCCCCGGCAGTTGTTTTGGCTGTGGGAAGCAAGGGTACCGACGCTTCAAGTGCCCCAACTGTAAGGACAAACCTTACACAAAATGCGCCGACGCGCGGGCTACGGTTGCCTCGGACTCCACCCAGGCTGCGACAAGCGCCCCCATCATGACAACACCCTCGGCAAGTATAAGTGCCGCTTCAGCGAAATCCGAGCAATCGGAGCTGGCAGACTTAATGGCACAGGTGAAGTCGATGCGCGAGGAGCTCGAGCACTATTGGGCGATGAAGGAGGAGGGTTTTTAATCCGGTCCGCGCTTCGTGCCGCACGCGTCGGGCCGCGAGTATCTTCTTGTAACAAGTATAACGTATTGTTGACTGCAATGGTGTATGAATTGGACCAGGGGTCCCAACACTTCCACATTCCAGTCCGACTTCAAGGAAAAAGACGGCACAAAGACATAATCGCTATGGTGGACAGCGGAGCCACCACGAAATTTATCAACAAGCGATTCATTGAAGAGAATAAGGTGCAAACGCGGAAATTGAAAGAGCCAATTCCGCTGTACAATATCGACGGCACCCTGAACAAAGACGGAAGCATCTTGGAGGTAGCAGTGCTACAGATGCATATAGGAGAGCACGTCAAGAAGACGGTGTTCACGGTCACGGACATCGGTCCGGAAGATGTGATCATCGGGTTGGATTGGCTACGCGAGCACAACCCTGAAATCGATTGGGAGAAGGGCTCCCTCAAATTGTCACGATGCCCTGAAACATGCAGTGCCAGAAGGGCTGGCCGAATGGAGCAAGCTGCAACTGCGCGTGATACGGGGGTCAGGCCCACGGCGCACAGGCGTTCGCCGAAATCCAAACGGTCGGTCATAGGTGCCTGCCGGAGTAAGGTATTACCGGACTTCGAACCCGAAGAAGATTCGGTGGAAGTAGAATGGGATGAGGCCGACTTGATCGAAGCCTGGGAGCAGGGTATCACGCTTCCCGGTGCTCCTCAGCTGTTTGTTGCAGCAGGGCATACGTACTCCCAGCTGTTCACTGAGGAGGAGATCAAAAAGAAGGTCGTTAAGACCGCTGAGGAGTCGGTGCCCAAGCAGTACCACGAGTTCCTGAATGTCTTCTCCAAAGAAGCATCAGAACGGCTACCCGAAAGGAAGCCTTATGATCACACAATCGAACTCGTACCCGGCTACTCGACGTTCCACTCAAAGGTGTACCCCCTGTCGAACAACGAGCAGGAGGAACTAGACAAGTTCTTAAAGGAGCAGCTGGCGAAGGGCTACATACGGGAATCGAAGTTGCCCATCTCGTCCCCCTTCTTCTTCATCAAAAAGAAGGAAGGAACACTTCGACCCATGCAGGATTACCGCCGGTTGAATGCAATCACCGTTAAAAATCGCTATCCCCTGCCGCTGATCGCCGAAATGGTGGATAAGCTCCGCGGTGCCACGCTCTTTACGAAGTTTGATGTCAGATGGGGGTACAACAACGTCCGGATCAAAGCCGGTGACGAGTGGAAGGCAGCTTTTGTGACTAACCGGGGGCTGTACGAACCCCTGGTGATGTTCTTTGGCCTCACCAATTCCCCTGCAACCTTCCAGGTCATGATGAACGAGATCTTCCATGATCTTATCATTGGCGGAAAGATCCTTGTGTACCTGGACGATATACTCATCTTCTCCACCAACAAGGAGGGGCAAGTAGTACAGAGGTCGCAGGTTCGAGCCCGCAAAAAGGAAAAAATTAAAAAACGGCTAGACGCCGTACCAACTCGTGACAGTAGTGTTCCGCAACTCCATAGAATGGAGGCCGGTGGCATCGGGAGCGGCAGCCATCACATCGCCCTCGCGCTCGGGGTTTGGGGGCGGCATGAGCTGCGCGCGGCGTGCCTGGGCCCTGTGGCTGATGCTGGTGCTTTTACCAGTCGGTTTGATTACCGTGCACAGGCGAGTCGGGGTGGTCGGGGCAGTGTCCGTGTCTCGTGCCTCGCAAGAGCGTTGTTCACGCGGTGTGGCCTCCTCATCTGCATCTTTGTGCAATGACCATGCTCCAGGCGGCGTGCTGGTCTTCACGCGCTGTCGCATCTGAGGTGGGGTTTGATTAGTATGAGATGCATGGAGCGCGGTGTGCCGCTGTATGACATTGGATACTCACCTGAATGATGTATCCCGGTTCTCCAATGTCCTCTAAATGCGTCGGCACTTCCTCCTGCTTGATCATGGTCTGTGGGACCTCTGGCCTGGGCAGCGATGGTGAGATTGGGTGTCGTGTGTGGTGTTGCAAAGCCTCTTGGAGATGGTCTAAGGGAGTTCGGAAAGGGCGAGAGAGTCGGGGTAGATTGGGCGTGGGAGCAAGAGAAAAGGAGGCGGCAGTAGGTGGAGAGACACGGTGGGAGGAATTAGATGGTTGCCCAGGATCAGGTGGGAGCATGGGCGTGAATGCGATGAGGATCACGAGGAGAAAAAGGGAGGGCCATGGCGTTGAACGAGCTCTAGAGGACGTCGAAGAGGACGGTAGAGGACAGAACGGAAGCGTGTGACCCGATTTGGATGGCTTGGGCCTCATGCAGAGATCAGCAAATTGATATCCAGTCGCCTGCTTCCTCGGTGTTACCCCATTTGGTATGCCTGGGAAGCATGCGCCCAGCTGCTTGGTTCCTCTGACTCCCTCACTGCTGTTCCCCGCTCGCATCCCTCTGACTCCCTCGGCGCAGTTCCCCGCTCACATCACTCCAATCCTCGCCGCCCCAGGGAGTGAAGGCTTCCAGCGGGATCGCAAAGGCGAGGGTTGAGGCCGGCTTCAACTCCGGGCATGTCACCAATGACATGTGTCGGGAGGTGATCCGCCATCAGAATAGCGGATGGTACTGCCGGCTCACCCTGAGGGCACGTGCGGCCCGTCAACTATGACGGTCAGCACCCCCAGTCCGCCCATTGCCTCAAGCGTGCACCATTTAGGGAAATAGTTTTGGGCGGCCCCTCGGGCTCGATATGGTCTGCCCGAGGGTCTCTCGCTTCTCCGTGAGGTAAATGGGGTGACATCCGAAGTTAATAGTGTTATGATACATCGTTGCAAGATGAGTGGTGCTAGTGTAGTACTCCGTGTCGTAGCAGAAATAGCAGCACACCTTAGACATTATCAATGTGATTGTAGTTATTTCGTCGTCAAGCGTACAGCGATGTCAAAAATAATGTGTACACCAACATCTATTAATCGAACGTTCATCGGGCGCCGACAAGCCGCGATCGGCATTCGGCCATCTGCCTCATGCCGCCCGGCTTGCCTTTCCAGATGGCCCTGCCGGTGCGTATGGCCACTGTGGCCACACGGCAGGCGGCTCAAGTGCCAAGCGGTCCTGCGGCATGCCATTTAGGACAATGGTCTCAGGCGGCCCCTCGGGCTCAATTTGGTCTGCTCGAGGGTGCCCTGAGTGATCTGCGCTGCTCCTAGGCGCCCGTGTGGCGCTCCTCGGAGATCAGTCCCCCTCGGAGATCAGTGCCGGCCCCCAGTCCTTCTGGGCGGCTGCGGCCTCCTGCAAAAGCTAGTTGTAAGAGTCCAATGTGAGCAAGCTCACCAAGCTCACATTGGACTCTTACGTGTATACAACCTGCGCGTGAGCCCAAGGATCCCTGCCCAGGACCGCAGGATGATCCGATTACTACGGACCATTGATGGTTCCTCGGCCTTGATTTAGTATGGCCTAGGTTCGTGACAGGGATCTGCACTGGCATTAGGCGCCCATACATTGAGCGCTCCTCGGTGCTCGCTATGATGCTCCTCGGTGATCGGTACCTGGTGCTGCAGCCAATCTCCGCGTGAATAAGGGTCCACTGATCGAGCTGCAGGATGGTCGAAAACATACTTGCAAGTCATATACAGGCTGTTTTTGAGCTTGCAATGCCTCCAATTTTGCGCGCTTTGCTCGCCAACGGGCTTGCACATCGCCTGGGTACATTTGGACACCAGCGGCATTCTGAAAGGCTCTGGGCAAAGCATAAGGTGCACGGTCTAACCCTTGGGGCAGACTAGATTCTCATAGGGCTCCTTGTACGCATTACTGCCACCATGGGCAGAGGCACCAAATACTTCACTGCCGCAGACAAGACCTTTGCCACCAAAAGGCGCAAACAGGCTCATGCAGCTACTCCAAGGTATAGCTACTAACCCCCGCCCTATCCCTTGCTAACCAAGCGTGCAGCATCAAGGCCAGCCAAAGGGCTCAGAACCGGCGTGCATATCTGCATCGCCAGCGTACGTTCATGTTTCAATGACGCCGGGTTACATTGCTAAAGACCACCCCTCAGTTGAGGGCTCTCTAATACCCTCTCAGGTCCACCCTCTAAGGCCCACAGACCATCATGACATCCCCCCCAATGTCCTCACGGACGCGCACCTGCCCCTCCGCTCTCACCCGCTGCTCCTCAAGGCGCTATGCAATACGCCCCTCGACTTCAACCCTGCTAATGCCACGGCAAAGCAGATGGAGGCCGTCCTGCGTGGGCAGGCCTGGCGAACGTTACGCGACAAACGGGATTGTCGTATACGCTTGTGGAACGAAGGGAGGTTGGATGAATTGCGAGGGTTGATAGAGCAACACCTCGCCGATGCGCGGGAGCATCGGCAGGTTGCTCACGCCCAGTGGGAGGAGGCTGCCGCGGAGGGTGTGGACAATGACAATCGCGCACAAATTGTGACGTCGACCCGGGCGGAGTTCGTGGCCAAGGAGGTATTTTGCGACCTGTGGGAGCTCATGCAGCTGACGCACATGCCAGAGTACTATGGTGTATTCTATGAGCTAGCATGTTTCCCCTCACAGCAGGTCATGCTCGTGTATAAAGGCGTGGTTATTGATTCAGTATACTAAGTTTATGTGGATACAGCGCGTGCTAGCGTGAACAGGAATATGCGGAAACGGCCTATGTCTGCCTCCTCGAACCCCGTCATGTTATACCCACGCAAAACTGCCGCGATGATGGCCAGTATCCATACGCCGCAGTTATATGTGTTGTGCTGACGTGCTGATGTTTAGGGACTGGGTGAGACTGCGCCTAGCGGCGTCGGTGAATGCTACTTACCGTGGTCGGATACACGGCCCATGCACGTTGCGCGTGGACAATGCGATGACCCTTATCTGCTGCAATATTGAGCAGGCACGCGGTGAGCTGCATGACGTCCTGTCGATGCCAATATTAGGATATGCCAGATTTTGACACCATAATTACTTACCTGAATATGACCCTCCCATGGATGCTCCCGGGCAAAACTGTCGAAGTAGGCAACGCGCGACCGGGGAATGTCAATGGTCGCCAGCATCCAATGGTCCTCGTAGTGGATCGGGATTGTCCATACATCCTTCTCCCAGAAACGTGTGCTTGCCGCATTGCGCCAGAGGGTCGCATCGCCGGCATCCGCGCGCACTAGGGGGAGCATGTATGTGGACAGGAGTGCCACCCGCTGATAGGCGCCAAGCCCCTCTGGGCCCCGATTCACCTTTTTTTGGCACTCGCATCCCGCCCGGCACTTCGACTCAGTCTCCCAACACTTCGATTTCGCCTTCGACACTCTTCGACACCTTCGACGGTGCGCGACGCTTACTCGAAGCTCGGCACGGTCTTTCCGATGCCTCGTGCGTAGATCTCGGAACATCTTCCGCATTCGGCGAACAATAGGGCCACTTGACCCCGCTCGGCCAAGCGCGCGCTTCGCTCCAAGCCACACCGAAGTAGCCGGTCTTTCCCGATTAGGTATCGAACCTCGCGGCATGCCTTCACGACGGCTACCGGTCCGAAGTGACCATATGTTGCTCTTCATCTCCGCGTTCAGCATGACGTCACTCTACCGATGGACTTGGTATGTGCCTCTTGGTGAGGCAGGTTCTTGAGGAACAATGCAAAGCCCCTTGTACCCATATGCCACTCTTGAATAGTCGTAGCGTCCTGTGTAGTATAAAATCTGTCGTACTTCTCTCCAAAAATACAGGATCCGTTTCCCCCCTCGAGTTCAGAGCTCATAAGTCGAGTTCGCCCCGCATCTAAGCTTGCAACTGCGTCACTTTGTCCCTCGCCGCGTAACTTCGAAACCTCGTCCACTGCGTTTACTCGTCGATACAGTCTCGATGAACCCTTCGACTTCGACAATTGTCGAAGAAACTGCGAACCGCGTCCTAGCTAAGTCCCCCCCCCTTTGAGTCATTTCCTTTCCTTCTACGATACATCGAAGAGCTCTGCCGAGCTTCGATCATCTCTACTAACCACCCCCAGCCTCTGAGTAGCTTCGACGACGTGCCGAAGCCACCTTGTACCTTCCCTAGCGTTCGTAGCCTTTTCCGAAGGCGTTTCTCGTGTTCACTCGAACCGCGGGACACCTTGCTGCTAACTACCCTCTCCCTAAACTATAATTCGTCTCTCTAGTCCCTTTAGGTCGCACCCAGGTTAGGGGTTAGGGTTTTGTAGGTCGTATCACCGCTCACCTCCTGGACCCAGGAAGACGAGTTGGAGGAGCTGCATGCATGCGTTGATGCAGCTATCATTCATCCACGCACTCCGGTTCTGCAGGCGACTCATGTCTGACACATCGAGGTGGACGTTGCTTTGCAACGATTGCGAGAGGACCGGGGCCATGGCTTGCAGGAAGTGGGGAGCGTCATCGATGGAGACATGGATCTGCGCACATTAGCGCAAGTGCGGTATCACAACAAGGAAGACTTACTGGAGTCTCCCATGTCATGGTTATCGTCATGACAGATGCCTCAGACCTTGCATCCTCAGGGGGCCCCTTGTCGCCACTAGCGTTGTCCAGGAAGACGTCCTCCACCAGATGCTGTTCTGCCTCGAGGTATGATGGTTCCTCCTCCTCCAGACGCCTGTAGGGGTCTGTATCATCTTGATGGATGATGTAAGGGAGGGGAGTCTCGATGACGAATGGCCATGCATACACTTGAGGATCGCCGAGGGCGCTGTTGACCATCTCGACGCGAGTGTGGTCTGTGCGTCAAATTGTTGAGGCGAGACCAGTGGGTTCTTCCATTTGGCAGGTAGGAGCAGAAGCTTGCAGACGCATTGCTGTAGGAGAAACGCGATATCCGCATCTGGTAGGGTCCATGGTTAGTGGAAGGGGCGAGTGGCGCTAGCGATGGCTTGGTGTACTTACTGGATGATGTCGCCAATGCCAGTTTGGCGGCCGCAAGCTCACTACCATACCAACGACAGATGTTGTCTGCCTTTCTTCCTAAGCGGCGCCTGTCGCGACTTAGGGTCGAGCGACAGGGGAAACACAGACTTTGAAGGATGCTGGGGGTGTTCGACTGGTTCTTACCGAAGCGATGGTGAGCAAGGCTCAAACCTAAGGCTAGGGACAAGTGAATGTATTAGTTAGTAAGGTAAGAAAGGAATACAAATGAGGGCTTACTGACCTAGGGACAAGAGGTCGAAACTGAGGTCCCTAGGGCAGCAGAGGCCGGCTTATATACATGGGGAGATTAGGGCAGGCTGTGCACGTTGGTCCGTGCGCAGCTGGTCTGTGTGCAGCATGCCGACGCGGCCCCGGGGGCCGGTGAGTCAGAGCGGCTGTGTCAGCGGGGCCCGAGCTGTGCCGTGCGCTGCCGCCCCATCTAATCTAATCGTACAGTAGATAGTGACGCGTCCATATCAGGCAGGTAGTACAGAGGTCGCGGGTTCGAGCCCGCGAAAAGGAAAAAATTAAAAAACGGCTAGACGCCGTGTCAACTCGTGACAGCGCTGCTCCTCTAGACAACAATCTCCAAGTAGGAGTGCGCAAATACCCTTGCGGATGTCGACGTCTTCGAGCCATCGGGGGGCTTGAGCTTGTGAGGGGTCAATCCAGACATCGGCAAGGAGGCTGGCATCGTCGCGGAGGGCGTCAAGGTCAGTGGGAAGTGGAAGGGGTAGGGTGATGGTCCACTCCGGCTGTTTGAGTTCTTTGAGGCTCTTGCAATAGCGATTGAACTTGCGGATCACTGTCTTGAGGGCGGGCGTACGCTTTGCAATTGCTTTGCGGGTCTGCTGATGGATCTTGGTGCCTATGTGACATTTTAATAGTGAGCGCTGTGCCCCGATGTCTCGCACTCACCTAGAGGGTTGTGCTGTCCACCGACCGCTTGGTCCAGCTGATCCCATTCAAAGAAGCTCCCCACTGCGCGCTTGCGAATGTTGATCTTCAGGTCGCATGCCATTAGTAGCAGCCTCACGAACTCGAGGCTGACGTTTCCGAAGTCTGGGAAGCTGTCCGTGATGTTAAGCGATGAGTATAGGGCCTCTACACTTATCAACCAGGCATGTATGTGATCATTCGAGGCTCGCGACGACTTCATGGGACTCGGCAGACGCTTCACCATTTTCAAGGACTGTCCGTGTTGTTTCG